TGACCCGGTATGGGAATAGCCACTCCTGATGGTGTGCATTAAAATCCCCCAGAAACACTAATTGGGCTGTAGGGTACTTTTGTTGAGCTGAATCCGCCGCCTCACCGAGGTATTCAGTGAGCCTTGTTGTCTCCAAGTCTCCGGTATGCGACCGGTAGACACAGGCATACAGAATCTTCTCCATGTCTGTGTCCAACAGTATCCACTGAACTGAGAATCGGGGGTCTTCAAGATTACGAAGACGCCGATAGCAGATATCGTCCCGGGCGTATAAGCACACTCCACTATGGGGCTTAAAGTTGTGCTCAATATTGTACCCAGGGTACATAAGGTACGCCTGGTCTGACGGACATCCTATCTGCGTCTCCGTAAGGAAAAAGAGTGCAAGTTTTTGAGTCTCTAGACGATGGTGGACTGGCACGAGATTTGAGTGCAGTCCTCTAATGTTGGTGAGGTGCACTTTGAGCGAAAGGGCGTGCTGCCGCTGTTGGACCTTTTTTCTATTTCCTTTTTTCATTTCGTGAGCATTTGTTCGGTGGGAAAACGGAAGTAGAATGTACGATTTGGCTTCAGTACCGTTACCAGTAGACACTCACATACACTGTGCATCTTATGGGGAACTAGTTCGAGTAGTTCGGAGACTGCGGGGAATCCCGAGCCCCCCCGGGAGTGTCCATCGGGCCCTTTCGTCCGGTCGCCAACCGGCACGATGGCGCATTCCGGGATTTTTCGCGAGTTGGCGGGGCAGCCTTTCATGAGTGGCTAACCCATTACTTGGGCCCCCTACTAACTGCGGTCGGCCAGCGGTGCACCGTGCCTCGGATCCCGCTACCCTCCGAGACTAGTTACCCGATGCAACAATGATGCGTACGTCTAAAAATCGGCACTGCAGTACTGGAGCGACCATTCCGACCCGATCTTCCCAAACGGCGTCACCGGACTACGCACCGGAACACAGCTAGGCTGCTTGGCGGCGCGACTTAGTCCGATGGGTGGTCACTAGCCTCGGCTATTGCCTACCACCAGTGGGTTGTCGCCTGATTTGCACCACCCAGGGACCACGTGTGGGGTAACAGGAAAAAAATATATACGGGGTTTACACCCACGGACGAGGGCGACTCGGTCCCCAAATGGTAAAGGGATATCATAGTTCTGAGTTAATGCAGCATGGGCTACCTTTTCATACCCTATGCTGTCCTTTTTGGGTGGATTTGATTTCACAAAATATGTCTTTTTATAGGAAGATTTGTTTACATTATTATAATTTGTATGTTTTTGTTTTGTAGGAGACAATGGAGGTAATGTGGAAGATAACACTTCAGAATAGGATTTCATAACTGGAGGATGTAATTTAAATGCTTCAGCATATGAAACACAATTTTTGGCCATGGTCTCTTTTATAGATTTCTGTCTTGCAAACTCTGGGCATTTTCTAGTGGTCGCATAGTAAGAACCAGAACACAAGCAACACACAACATCATCATCATCAATATTACAGCTCTCACCAGCGTGGCTATTGCCACACTTGAAACATCTTGGAACAGATCTACACTGATTCTTAATATGACCATAGCGACAACAATTAAAGCACTGTACAGTAGGGAAAATATACAAATCAACAGGTAAAGCATTGAAGCAAAGAAATACTCTTTTAGGTAAAACCTGGCCATCAAAAGTAAGCACCACAGTCTCCGCTGGAGAGAATGTTGCTTTGCCGTCTACAATATGTTTCCTATTTATTCTCCTAACTTTGAGTATATTTCCACACCCAAAAGGAACAGTAATATTTTCCATTATTTCTGCTTCGGACCAGTCAGTGGGAATACCTCTTAAAACCCCCATACGAGTAATATTAAAACTAGGAATAAATGCTTTGTAGTTATGCTGTTTCAAAGCTTGATTGTCAATGAAAGCATTTGCATCTTCAAAATGAGTAAATGACAAAAGTAACCGATTCCTTCCAATTCTTTTAAGGCTTCCATTGACAATATTTTTAATGTTGTTCGTTTTGAGGAAATGGCCAAACGAAATGGGGTGAATAGAGGTATTATCACTGGCACTGGTCTGTTCCCTCTGAATATGTATAATATACGGGGCGGCATCTGATGCCTGATACAGGTTTCTACTTACTTGGCTAGGAGAGGTATTTGAATTATTTACAATTATTATTTCTTGTGATACTGGAGCAGTAGGAATTTTGGGAGATTTAAATTTAGTGGGGAGGTTTTCTTCAAAATGACTATTATCGTCAGTACACTGACAATCTTTTTCATTAAAAGCCACTGAGGAGGATTTGTAATGCCTTCTCTTTTTGTTGCAATGCTTACAAATTTTTCGGGATGAGACTCGTTTACGTGTGTTGTTATTAAAGTTGTTATCAGAAGCATCAATGTCAATTAAAGAGCCCTCTGTTTCCATTTCTTTTTCATAACAATCAAATGGAATTGTAACAATATGCGACACCTGGGGGGCTGTCCCCCCAGGGTCTAAAGGGTCATTCATACGTAATAAATGTTAAAAACTTACCAATACAGCGAATATATTTATACACTACTAATAAATATTAAAATATACACTAAACTAAGGACCTATCTGATCCCAATGACTAATAATCGATATTAATAAAAATTCTTGCCAAAAAGTACGTCCGCCTAAGTTGAAGGTTTCCCGCGCTTCTTTTTTCCAAGCAAATCTTGTTCATCTAAACGTTAACTTTTATTTTTTATTAAAAATATTAGAATCCGTGATCACGGAGCTTTCAGGATTGGTGGCTCCTCGCCTATAAAGCAAATATATACTTTTGACAGTCAGTTGCACGCCCAGGGTTCATTTTAAGGGCAAGCCCGAATCTCACATAAGTACTATGTTTAAGTCTGCCTGTTGCTTTTTACAAGTAGGTACATTATAAAAATATGAATTAAGTAATATAAATGCTTAATTTCCTTGGAAACACAGTCAATGAGTTTTTCTTGCTGGAATTTAATTGGACTGGGAGTGAAAAAAACCATATAATGCGACAGCTACCTAAATTTTTTCAATGCAAACTGGTAACCCTGAGGTATGAAAATCTGTGTACCCGGTAACTGCCTTTCTCACACAAATTAGCCGAGGTTTAATCTTAGATTAAAACAAAAAGGGTAGATACGGCACTAGCCTCACAAGAGTGATCCGCACCAATTGTGGTCCACGACCCTAATCGCTTTAGTCACAACTTGACATGCAAACAACGTACATGTGAACGCCAAAAAGAAATATTGCTAATATTTTGTGTTTATATGATAAAACACTCTTAGGGATTGTTTATCCCTAAGAGTGTTTTTAAAAAGTGCTCAAATTGCTCAAGAACTAAAAACAAAACCCACGGCATCACTTTTCATTCGTAAGTACTATAAAATATATTTTTTCATAAAAATTGTTGTTTGTTTTGAATCTTATTCGGTAGTGACGTCGAGTACTGGTCGCCTGATTGGTCGGTAATGCAGTGACGCGGATCAAGCCGTCTCGTTCGCGCTACCGTTGAAACTTAACGTGCTGTTTCGTTCGGGTCGGTAATGCAGTGACGCGGATCTCGCCGTCCCGTTCGCGCTGCCGTGGAACAGTTTTTGTTTGATGCAAGTATGAGCGTACCGTATCTACCCTTTTTGTTTTAATGTAAGGGTTTAATAAATCAATAGTTAAGGTTAATGTATGTAGGTAAAAAAACTTTCATATGTTGTCTCGTCCGATCTGTTTCTTTTCACATGTGCTTTCTTGCATTTGCATGTGGTGTTGCTTCACTCTGTTTCCTGATATATAATAATGCCTTTTCGAAGCTCAGCCTGTAGTTCAGCCAGCTCACTACGGAGCTCTTGAATCTGTACTTGCTGTATCAGATTTGCTTTCTGGAGCGTCATACACTCTTCTTGAGTTCTGAGACGGTCCGCTTGTTAAGCACCTCCATAGCTACACAAATTGCCGATGCCGATTTTTTAAAGCCCGCTGTAGTGTGCCTTCGATTCCCTCAGAGGCCTTGGCAACTCTTTCTACCACTGCTACGTTATTTACTACCAGTTTAGTCAAAGCAGAAGTAGTTTCCTCTTCTGCATTTAATACTTCACTGCTACCATTGATGGTTTCCATTTGAGCAGTGCAGGAAATCCGACGTTTCTGCCATAATTTGTTTAAAGCTCTTCCTGAGCTATCTGTCACCTTGGTCTGCGTCGAATCCGATTCTGAGTGTTTTTTATCTCCCGCTACAGTTCTAACAGATGCAGACCTACTGCGTGTCTTTATCTTGGTCCTTGACCACTATCTACTGTAGCTTCATCCAACCCCGCCTTATTCTGGCTGAACACGCCCTCGGGCTGAAACAGGTGTTCTCCCAGTTGTCTCCCGTCATTAAGGCCTCCAGCTAGTCGCGCCGGCCACAGCTGGTAGCCCACATATCTGGGGGCCACATCCCTATCCACCATCCGGAGGACGATGTTGCATCTCCGATTCATTCATCGTGAATGCGATAGTAGATACTGTGACGTAAGAGTGGTGTAATTTTGTATTACAACTTATAACAAAACTCTGCGCAAATGAAGAACTCATAGGATCTTTAATGTATACGCATCAAGGGGATATGAGAACTATAATGCAGTGATGACTACGTCAGAGAAGCTTACTGAGAAAGCCAACGCAATATGTATATAACAATAAAACTAGAATGCGTGACCCACATCATCATCATCATTAACCTATTTATGTCCCCACTGCTGGGGCACAGGCCTTGCCTATGGATGGAATAGGGAGATTGGGCCATGACCCACCACGCGGGCCCAGTGCGGATTGGCGGGTGTTAACGACTGCAGATGCAGCTGGGACCAAAGCCTTAACGTGCCTTCCGAAGCACGGAGGAACTGAAGATAGAAGATTTTTGGTCACCCATCCAATGACCGACCACCGCGAAAGTTACTTAACTTCAATGATCGCAGCCGGATGCGCTAACCACCTGCGCCATCGAGCTCCTCAATTCAATGTTAAGTAAAATATTTAAGATTACGCTATCTGGAATTGGTGTCCTTTGCCTTCCCATAAAGGGAAAATATAAGAAATGAAAACAACGGAAGCAGACGGGGTGGGAGGCACTTGGTTGGGCGCGCAAATTGTAATAAATTTGTCCGGTGGTCAAAAGTACGAAGATGTGCGATAAAATGTATGTTAATTAATGAGTTATCAGTACCCACGTATTATCTAATTCCAGATAATTGCAGAGTGATGATATGAATTGAAAGTAAGGTTATAATTTAATCAGTAGTTTACGAGATTTCTCCAAATTTATACTTCCTGAATACGAATTAAATTAAAACTGGGTCAAACTCCGTTAATTATTTCTTCCCTTTACTAAAATGTCGGTGTCTATAGTTAATAATATTGTAATTGGCCCTGAAGAGGTGTTCATTCCAGCTCATTTATCATTTGGACAGTTCATGTTCGATAAATTAAAGGAAGGAGGAAACAATGTTGCTCTGGTAAGCATCTAAAATATTATTTTTTAAACTCATATTGGAAACCAACTTTCTCCCAGGACATTTTATCTTACACAAATAAGAGTGTAACAAACTGGCATCTAATAAATAAAAATCCAAAAATCACATCAATTAGTCCCGCCCCAAAGTAAGCACTGTAAGGCTTGTGTTATGGAATACTTTTACCTTAGTATTCCATAACACAAGCCTTACATAATACTTAATATACTAATATATATTTATGTAGAAATGCATATAAACATCCATGACTTAAGAGTACAAATGCTCGTATTCAACATTCACCCCACCAGGATTCAAACCCGGGACCTCGGACCTCTCCTATATTAATGTTTTTGATTTATTAGTATAACTTCTACATCAGTTCAAAAATAAATTGATCTCATTGTAAAAAGGTATAAAATTGAAAAAAAATGGTAGGTCAAATATTATGACCACTGTAAGCTTTTTACCATTAATCTTTCAGGTGTCCGCAGAAACACATGAGACTATTACATACATAGAATTACTAAAGCAAAGTGTTGATCTAGCCGTTGCCCTTAAAAAGCTTGGGCTGAAGAAAAATGATGTTGTGGGTATCAGCTCTGAGAACAGAATTGAGTTCATGGTGACAGTGCTTGCCATAGTTTTTTGTGGTGGACAACTTTCTTTACTTAATTTTACTTACACACCAGGTATAATTAAGCTATTAAATGTTTCATTGCATAGTTCTTTAGTACCATATTATTATGGTGATGAGACCAATGATGTATTAATAATTGGTTCGTGCTGTTAGTGCTTAATTCTTCAATACTTCTACATTATAATACCAATGATAAGTCTCATTTTAGAATGTATACATTTAAAATTGAACTTTATTATATTTTTACTTTAATTATTTTCATGTTACAGAGGAAGTGACACATTTAATAAATATGGTTAAACCAAAATTTATATTCGTCTCGCCTATTTCTGCCCAAAATATTTATGATACATGCCAAAATGTATCATTTGTTGAAAAACTTATAATGTTTGGGGAGTATGATGTTGTGCCTTCAACAATGTACAATAACTTAGTAAAAGAAAGTGTTAATGTCGATGGATTTGTGTTGGAAGATGTGAATGGGAAAAATGACACTCTGGCAATAATGCTCTCTTCAGGCACCACAGGGTTACCCAAAGGTGTCATGCTAACTCATGTAAATTTACTAACATCAATAGCTCATATGAAGTGAGTATAATGATTGTGAATTTTAAAATCTAGATACCAACTGCTCCTTTCCTTGTTGCATCTGCTATTCATCATCATCATCATCATCAGCCTATTTATGTCCCCACTGCTGGGGAACAGGCCTTCCCTATGAATGGATTTGGGAGATTGGGCCATGGCCCACCATGCGGGCCCAGTGCGGATTGGTGGGTGCTAACGACTGAAGATGCAGCCGGGACCAGTGGCTTAACATGCCCTCCGAAGCACGGAAGAGCTCGAGATCGTAAATTTATTTTGGTCATCCATCCAATGACCGACCACTGCGAAAGTTGCTTAACTTCAACAATCGCAGCCGAACGCGCTATTCACTCGCGCCATCGAGCTCCTCATCCATCCATCTGATATTATTCACTCATAATTTTAATTTTTTACTGTATGTTAACAAAGTGGAAAGTTTTGCCTTTAAACAAGATATTATCCTTTTTTTTTGTTGACGGTGGAAAATGCATTTACGCACCATACCGCGCGCTTGCCAGGCGCGCGACGTGTATGGAACTCCCCGGCGCGGAACAACGCCGGACCTACCCACTAAAAACCACCGGTACCCTCCTCGGCCCTCATGAGGGCGCTCTGGGATCGGCGCACCTACGTGCGCCACTTCACCAGAGCGTACCCGGGCTGGCCCGGCCCAACGAGTGGACCGGGTGATGCGCCTTAGGGGGATTACTCTAGGGTACTAGATAATCCCCAGACGGGGTGGCCTATGCCCAATGGCACCAAGGACGCGCGGCTGGCATGCCGCGCCCAGACCACCCTAGGGCCGACGAAGACCGGCGGTCAAAGCCGCCTGCCTTCTTCGGCCCACCCGTCTACGCCGGAGAGGAGCGGCCACAGCGTCCTCCTCCCGCTCCCTCTCCGCTGCCTCCTTCTGCCCCATCACAACCTCGCAGAAGCAGGCAGCCTTCCATGCTCTCTCATTGCCAAGCATGGCTCGAACCATACTTGGCAATGAGAGCGCTCCACCGCCGAGCGTAGCCACCAACGTGCGGCACTCGTTTCACCAGAGGCGCAGTGATGACACCGCGGCAACTCCGGACGGGCGACACAAACAAGATATTACGTAACTTGGATACCTTAATGATAATTACATACAGAATGTCCAAATATAATTCATTTATCATTAGAACAACAGCCTAATCAAAATAATCCTAAAATTATAAAAGCTACATTATCCTAAATTAAGAAACACGAATTTTAATACATAGCATTGATTTCAGATACTATTTCAATACATCAATGAAGATGTACAATTATCATATGAACACTGCGATGACATTGATTCCATGGTTTCACGCTTATGGTTTCATCACAACAATAACTGGGATGATAGAACATATTAAAACTGTGTTTCTAGTGCGTTTCGACCCTCAACAGTATTTAGAAACAATTCAAAACTACAAGGTTAGTATGGGTAAATACTATTGGACTGTTAAAAAGTGGTACTTTTTACTGCAATTGGATCCATAACTGACTAGGATGGGGGAGAGGGTGCTGCATGTAACAATAATTAACAAACTAATCTAACAATGCAAGAGGATCTATATTTTTGGACTTGTCAATCTTAGGCCTAGAGTATATACTTCCGGACACAGCTATTAGGCCCGTATTACAGAATGACAACTAAGTGTTGCTCTTTACTTGAGTACAGTTAGAAAGGGATGTCGCTATGTGCTATATATAGCAACATCACTTTCTATGCTCAAGACAAGATTAATTACTGAGAATCTTTCTATAATACGGGCCTTAGTGTTATAACTTTCAATGGTCTGTAGCAAAAATATATGTAGATACGTCCGGAAGTATATTATATGCACTTTTTTTTATGCATTTACACATGTATATCATTCTCTTTATTATCTGCTCTCCTGCTTGATTAACTAGAAAATAAAAAATTTTTTCAGGTTAACATGACTACAATAGTTCCACCTATAGCAGTTTTCCTTGCTAAAGATCCCCTAGTTTTGAAATATGATCTTTCTTCACTGAATGAAGTTTGGTGCGGAGCAGCTCCCCTGTCCAAAAATATACAAAATGCTATTTCTGCAAGGTATGGGGCAAATATTTATGCTTGCTTTGTACATTTTCTAACCAATCTAACATATAACAATTCTTAAATTTGTATATTTTGAAATGTAATTATTAATATATTTGCTGTAGGTAGCTATTACCTACAACTTCACTAACTTTACCTCCTAGCACAGATTATATGATGAGACATTGAAGTAATTTGAACGCAAAAATTTTTCGTAGTTCTTTAGGGTTCCGTATCTCAAAAGGAAAAAACGGAACCCTTGTAGGATTACTTTGTTGTCCGTCTGTCCGTCTGTCAAGACCATTTTCCTCAGGAACGCGTGGAGGTATCAAACTGAAATTCATATCAAATACTCATGTCTACTGTCCCTTGGAGCTGTGAAAAAATTAAACTTCTTAGCCAAAGCAATCAAAAGATACAGCCGTTTATGCCGCAAATTTCCGCAAATATTCGAAACTCGCACGGGAATCAAAATCTACAGGGTACTTCCCTAGATTAAAAAAAAAAGGGTAGATACGGTACGCTCATACTAGCATCAAATAAAATATGATCCTACTGAACTGCATACGCAACTCTCGCCACGCAAACGTCTGTATGTAAATATCAATCGAGCGAGCGAGACAGAACTATACGCTTCAACACATACGTAATCGCCATTTTGTAAGCAAGAAAAGTGTTTGTCGTGAATATTATTTACGTAATCGCCATTTTGTAAGCAAGAAAAGGCGATTACGTAAATAATATTCACGACAAACCGTGATTTTTGAGAAAAAATGATTTCACAATTTGTACGAATGAAAAGTGTTGCCGGGGCACTCAGACCAAATAAAAAGTAAAGACGGAGTCTGCCGAACCAAAAAGTGAAGCCGGTTTTTTATGTATGTAGTGCATTAGCCAGTGTTGCCATAGTCATATAAAACACCCCAATATTAGAAAAATGTAATAACGTTATTAATAACGTTATAAAATATTAGAAAAAAATATCGTAAGCTTATTCTCTAAACCTCTCGTGAGCCAAAGGTCATGCGCCGTTCTCACCTACAAGTGCCGGACTTCTTTATGGACCGCCCGCCCGCTGGGTGGGAACGATTGCATTGTTCTGCCGATTTCTCTGTTATTTTGTAAAAATACCCTTCACAAACGTATATTTGGATTCTTCATAAAATTTTCAATAAAACAGTGTGTACACAATGCGTCATGTCTATAATTTATTTTAATTACATTATGGTAAACTCAGGAAAGATAAAAAAAAGTCGTTTAAATAGGTAAAATGAGGTGTATTTTCAAAATTTGTAAATTATAAATCCAGGTTTTTGTACATATAGAATGTACTATATATGAATGAATGTATATAATAACTTACCAAATACAATTATAAAATATAACACGCAACAGAAAAAAAAGGGTCGTGTTGCAAGTGTTGATAAAAACAAATGCGAGATCCAAGTGCCTTGATTTATGTGTTGACGTTTAATTATGTTGGATTGATTATTTTACTTTAGTTACAAGTCTCGGATGGAATAGGTTTGTTCATTTTATAGTTTCAAGCACTCGCAACAAGGCACTTGAAATCGCTTACAAATCAGTCATCTCAACTTTATGTCGATAAAACGAAAAGCATATACAAACGTTGATAAATAGTTTCTTTTATTAAAATGTACATGAAATTTTCTATAGAATACACAAAATATAATCACTAGTTCCTATACAAGAACATAATAAAAAAAATCCACAAACATCGCGAATTTTGGGTCAAAAAGGCCATTAAAAAGTACAATACAAATAAAATTACAAATATATTATTATTTTACAAATCGTCGCTCTGAAAATGAGTCGAACAAACCACGCTGCGGGAAGCTGGTTGCCACAATGGTGCATTTCTACTCTTACGAATGACTGCAATCCACTTCTCTTTTAGATCTTGATCTCGATTAGGAAATCTTAAAAAGAACGTATATTAAATAATGTGTATTACATCCCAAAAAATTTATACGAATACATAAAGAAAAAAGATGTTTCGTGTAATTGTTTATCCATGCATTACAATATTCGAATAATTTAAAAGTATGCCACACAATGTATATAATAAAATAACGTTACGTTATATTTCACGCTACCCAACAAAAGGGTAAAACTGTAACGAATAATCATGGCAACATTTCGTTCAGGTTTTGTTTACAAAGCGACAACCTCAAATTTGATTTTGATTAATTGAAAATAGCAGTTTATAACTTTACTTACGTATGAAATGTGATTCCATCCTGTTTTTTATTCTTGGATGATTGGTTTTTACACGTTTTTACTACACCATTCGGCATTTTTTCTAATAAATATTGTTATTTATTATTACGTCACACTCCGCGCGTCGGGATAGCTCGATTGAGAAGCCAAGGCGTAGTTTCGTTGCATGTGTGTGCGTGTAACTGTGTATGTACACGGCGAGGCGTACTTTTATCGGCTTCACTTTTTGGTTCGGCAGACTCCGTCTATACTTTTTATTTGGTCTGAGCCGGGGCATTTGATTTTGAACTATTTGTGTTCTTTATAAAAGCATCGAAGGCATTTTACGCAGAATATACGCAATATTGATATATTGAGTGTACATGCAGCGTGTTTGAATGTCGAATTGTGACTAAAGCGAATTATGGTCGTGGACCACAATTTAAGCGGATCACTTTTGAGCCGCGAATGCCGAATCTTCCCTTTTTGTTTTAATCTAAGACTTCCCGTGAATTTAGAATCTTGAAATTTGGTTCAAAGTAACGTCTTATAGTACAGATAAAGGAAAAAGTAAGTTCTAATTGCAACTCAACTTTATACGAAATAGTATATCTTTAGCGAGTAGAGCTAGAAACTAAAAACGAGTTGACAATCGGCTGTAAGCGATTGTGTAGTTCCGATAGTTTATCGCTAAAAATATTCACTAACACAGCAGTGCCAAATTCCGGAAGAATATTATTCTAAAAACGTAAAAACTTCAAAAATTTGATAAAGAAGACCTTTACATGATTTTCTTATTTATAGGACTGGTTTACGTCGCATAAAAAATGGGTATGGGCTGACAGAGGTGACAATGGGTGTGTGCCTGGATTATATGGAACACAACAAGCCAGGCACTTGCGGTCAGCCCGGCCCTGGGGTGCGGTTAAAGGTAACTTTATGTTATTGATTTATTATATTCTTTATTACTAAAAATTCAGTAAATGGCGGACTTAATGCCATAGAAATTCTCTACTAGTCAACCAGTAATGGTTGTTTGGCAGCGCATTCGTTCTATACTGAAGTTATAGTGCGACAACAACGATAATCGGGCGTATGAGTTGGCAACACTTATTACTAATCAACGTCATCTGACGTCGAGCTGTTCCGTTGTCTTCAAACCCCTTAACGATTTCACCACGTTCCGATTTAATCCGTTGGAATCTGAGCAATCATAGCTCATTTTGAGCTGATTATTCAACGATATTAAATACCCTCGATACAAGACGTGCGCTCAAAATGTGTCCCAATCAAGAAGTGCTTGAACACCACTCAAGCACTTCTTGTTTCACAGTCATGCGCGGACCGTTGAAAAGAAAAGTTGCCGTAGAGCTCCGTGAAAAAAAAATGAAAAAAAATACTTATAGTATGTAAAGTGTCGCCTTTTCGACAGGTATCTAATCAATGTTTATGTTTCAATAAATAAATAAAGTTTCGTGCATTAACCCGTAAAAACTAGTTTTATTTAATGAGTGATGTGCGTGAAAACCTAAGAAACAAATAATCAATGTTTGTTAATTTAACGCATTTTTGAATTTTGAATTGAATTGAAGCAAATTTTGTTCTAATACTTACTATAAAATGATTTAATAGAAAATATTTGTGATATTTGAATGCATGGTCAGTAGTATCGCCGTCTCTTCTTCGCGGTCCGTACCGTATTATAATGCCTTAAATTGTTTTTGACTACGCGATCATCTTACGCAGCTTCGTGAATCGTCCAATGTACCTATTGGACAGGTTTCAGCCACAATTTTTTTCGTGTTGTTGGTATCTAGGGCAGAGGTTCCCATACTTTTTTGTGTCGCATGTTTTTAGTTTTGGGTAGACCCCTACTTACCTTATATTGTTTTTTTGTAAATTTTTATCTGGAGGGAAGTTAGTGTAACAAGATGATACTGTTTTATCATTATATGCAGGTTTATACAACTTCAAAATGTATTGCGACCACAAAGCGAATATCTTACAACTTACAAAATTTTATAAACATACTAGCGGACCCGACAGACGTTGTCCTGTCTACACGTCTTTAATTTGAAAATTTCAAACGTTTTTTAATAAGCTATAACATTCTGGACCATTTTGATGAAAATTACCATTCTCAGATCCCCTTGAACACACACAAAAATTTCATTAAAATCGGTCCAGTCGTTTAAGAGAAGTTCAGTGACATACACACTCACAGAAGAATTATATATATAAAGATTTGACACTGCGATGGTAGCGCCGTCTGTCGGATCCAATGTAAAACATTCCAAAATCAACAACTACTAATAAATTAAAAATTAATTAAAAAAACATTGTCCAGCGGACAAAATTGTGAATCTAAACCATTCTCAGATCCCCTTGAACACACACAAAAAATTTCATCAAAATCGGTTCAGTCGTTTAAGAGAAGTTCAGTGACATACACACTCACAGAAGAATTATATATATAAAGATACATATTTTTGTATATAATATTTTTTATTATTTTATCGGTACTTTTATAAATAATGTATATGTCTTTTTAATAGAAGATAGCATAATGTTAGTAAATAAGTGCTATCAGTGTATGTTGAGATCCATTATTGTGGACCCCCATTTTCATTTCATGAACCCAAATTTTTTTTTCGCTGACATTGACCCCTTGCAGGTCGTCATAAACCCCTAGGGGTCGATATAGACCACTTTTGAAATCACTGATCTAGGGTATTTAATATCTTTATGATTGTGGCCGCCATCTTTGTAAACGTCATATTTTGTATGTCATTTACGGTCATAATTATGAAAAACAAGAAAAAATTAGTGTCCAATAACATGTATACTCTATAGATGGTGTAGAGGTGTACTAATAATGTATCTTTAGAAATAAACCCCCTTTTGGAGTCAAAAAGTATGTGCAAATTACTAACTCCACGCGTACGAAGTCGCGGGCGGCCGCTAGTTCTATTAATAAGGCCCGTGTTGTTTAAGGTTGTGGACATAGATAGCGGCGCGAAGTTGGGCCCGGGGCAGGAGGGCGAACTGTGCGTCAAGTCAGTGTTGCGAATGAAGGTAAATCTTTTCGAACTAGTACTTAATCTATTACATTGTTATTTAAAATTTAAATTGCTAGATATATGAATCTAAAGATTTTTTTACTAAAATTAATTTAATTAATTAATAATTAATTAATTTAATTTAAATATTATTTTTTACTCACGGTCGAGGCATCAGACAGGATTCGAAATAGCACCTTCCGATTTTACTATTCCACCCGCTTAGCAAAAGTGCAGGTTGGAATTCTTGGAATCTTGTCTGATACCTGGACAGAGATTTTTTTTCTAGTAATATTTTCTTTAGATATTATCAGGGTATTTTACAAGTATTATAAAACAATCTCACGGTATTTACTTATATTTATCGAGTCCTTAAAAAGTGGATATTCATCATACTATTTTGTATTTCAGTAAAAATATAAATCAAACATTAAATTTTCAAGTTGCCGCAAAGTCGTTTTCCTGGACATTATGGCGTCTCACGGGCCCGGGCTGATGATGTTACACTACTGTTATTTGTTGTAACGTTACTTTGACCGAAAGTCTTCTATCGTGCGACGTCTTTTAGTCTTCGCCAATCCCAGTCACGTGACCAAAGAACAAATAAAATAAATAATTTTGTATTTAATGATATTCTATAAAGTAATTTATTTATTTGTTCTCTCAGAATAGTAAAATCGCTGCTAATATTCATCCTCCTATCCTACTAATATTATAAATGTGAAAGTTTCTATATTTTGTTAGTTAATCACGCAAAAACTATTGAACGAATTTGGATGAAAGGTACGCTTATAGTTTATGACCTGGATTGAGACATAGGATACTTTTTATACCGGAAAAGTGTTAGGTACCTGAGGGATTTAAAAAAACTAAAGTAAACGCAGACGAAGTCACGGATGGCCGCTAGTATTAAATATAGATGGAAATGCCAACAATAGGCTAGTTGACCCTTTTTGGAAAAAGGTTTTAAATGGTTAATAAATGTTCTATTAGACCGAAAAAAATGTATTGTATTTTTTTGAGACCTAGAAAGCTACAAATCTTTAATTTTAAAATAGACTTTTCATGGACATACAAAAACGCTGCCGGCCATTTTAGTCTATAGATTATCTATGCTATGACGTTGACAGTAGTAAACAAAAACTCGTAAGCACGTAGAAAATAACCCATCTGAGTTTATAATAAAAAGAAAACATGATTTCTAATAGATACCACGAAAAATATAGTAATTATTATTATTGTATTGTACGAGAATGTAAAAAAAAAATCTTTGAAGACTCCAGGAAAGTTGTGGATTAAAGTGCCGAAAGAAATTAACCTACGCAATATCTGGTTAGAACTTGCTAAAAGGGATCCTGCAACTTTAACGACTCATAGTAAAATTTATTTTTGCGAAGATCACTTTGATGTTATTACTCATTGAATAATATTTTAAGTCTCTTCATTTATTATCAGTTTTAATAATACAAGTTTTTCAAGTTATGTATGAATGACATTTAGTTGTTTACTAAAACAGACGTCACAATCATGGCGGATGTGGCGAACAGCGTTTTTAGTGTTTAAAAAGTATAGACTAAAAATTGTTTTTTTAAATTAAATTTCTACAGCAATCTTCTGCTTTTATGAAGTGAAATCGATATATTTAGGTTCCTTAGACAAAATACTTTAAGAAATAAACATTTATTTAATACAATTCGACATGAGTCAACTAGCATATTTGGTACTTTATTTTTCATACTGTCAAATAATCTAATAGGCCATAAATTAATAATAGTAAATATTTGTTTCTTTTCTATTTTAAAAAATATTATTTAAATAATTTATTTAGTTCTGGAAAATTTAATAAAATAAAAAAACTTGTTAATTGCAAACACTAGCAATTTTTATTTTTACATAAGTAAAACGTTTATTTTTACATAATTAAAACTTCATTAGTGTATCAAATTTTATTAGATAAATTGTGTGTTAATACACCACACACGCACGTACACATGCACGCACACACACACACACACACACATTCACACACACAATCTGACCGTAGGAGTACCACCTACTTTTGTTGTTTTTTTTTGCATGTCTCGCTTTCATCTAAGGAGAAGTGGGTGTGGTTGAAAACCAGCGCTGCCCGAGACATTCTGTAACGAAGCAGTTTATGCTGAGCAACATCCATTTGCTCTTCACATTGTCATATCGCATTTTACTATGAATTACTGTGAGAGCAATAAAAATATTTATATTCTATTCGGCGTTTTTTCACGCCCGAGCAACTGTGCTTGTTGTATAAGACACAGGTGCGGTCTTGCGTGGAATATTGCTCGCACCTCTGGGATGGCTCCGCCAAGTACTTGCTCGATGCTTTGGATAGGTTACAGCGGCGCGCGATCCGCATCATAGGCGATGAGGAGGTGACTAAACACCTCGAGCCTCTTCAATTATGCCGTGACGTGGCTTCACTAAGCGCGTTCTATCGTCTGTACCACGGCGAGTGTACTGAGGAGTTATTCTCTCTTAACCCACCTTCCCCTTTCCTTCAGAGGACCACGCCTTTATTGTCACCGTGTAACTGTGGCCACAATTCCAACGCGTACAAAGAAATTTGGTGACTCATTCCTTTGTCGCACTATCCGTAAATGGAATGCTCTGCCCGCTCACGTATTCCCTCCCTCTTACAACCTTTAAAAGAGGCGCGAAAAAACAACATGCAGGCCGGCAGGGTGAAGCTATCAGCTATCTTCGCGTCTGGACTTCACCTTCACTTAACATCAGGTGGGGTGGAATCATTTGTCGGACCTATCTATAAAAAAAAACTATTCTAATAATGTAGGGGTACGTTGGCGACGCGGCAGCCGAAGGAGAAGCCTTATTCGACGACGAGGGATTCGTTCACACCGGCGACGTAGGCTACTACGACGAAGACGGGTACGTTTACATCGTCGATCGGCTCAAGGAACTCATCAAGTATAAGGGATATCAGGTGGGTCCATTATTTTGATTTGAAACTTGTGATCTTCTTGGTTTTTATAATTTTGGTTAAATAAGTATTTTTAATTAATTTTGGGATTTTTTTTTCTATTACAAAAATATATGCAATCCATTTTTCTGTTGTTTATTCAAAATACAGACTTTTTGACGGATTGCAACATTTTAATATATACGGCAAACTTGTATGATTAGACACCGTAGTTACTAATCCATACCAAAATCATAAATGATGTGTGCCAGTCTGTATAATCTCTCAGATCTGTTTGTTACCTCTTTGCGTTTAAACCGCTGAGCCGATTTAAATGAGGATTAATTAAGGACATAAGACAGTTTTTATCCTAGAAATCACTTAATGGGGGGTGATAAGGGGGGTGGATGTTTGTATGGGAAACCAATTTTTTCACGCAGACGTAGCGGGCACCCACTAGCTTACTATATGGCCACTATATAGCCTGTAGGCTAGGCATCTGTAGTATTGTTGTTGTTGGGTTTTCTACGCTCTCCAAAAATAAATAATCACACAAATATTATAAAGGCGAAAGTTTGTGAGTATGTGAGTGTGTATGTTTGTTACTTCTTCACGCCTAAACGGCTGGAGCGATTTTAATAAAATTTGGTATGGAGTTAGCTGACACCCTAGATTAACATATAGGCTACTTTTATCCCGAAAAAATGTTAGGTTCCAGAGGGATTTTCTAGAAACTAAGTTAACGCAGACGAAGTCGCGGGCGATCTCTAGTAATAAATAATTCCAACACTCACACCAATTAGCCTAGCCCCAAAGTAAGCACTGTAAGGCTTGTGTTATGGGATACTAGAGTAACGGATGGAATACATATATTGTACATATATAAGTATATTAATATAAAAAATACATATTTAACATCCATGACTGGAGTACAAATGCTCGTATTCATCACACAAACATCTGCCCCCATGAAACCCGGCGTACAAACCACTCGACTACGGAGGTCCTCAGAATTCAAAGATCCAAGTACTCTAGCAACCTAAACACATCAAGAATACAATCCTACAGGTTGCCCCGGCACAGTTAGAAGCGTTGCTACTGAAGCATCCGGGCGTGGCTGATTGCGGGGTAGTTGGAACGCCAGACGAAATGGCCGGCGAATTGCCCACCGCCTTTGTGGTGTTGCAACCCGATACTAAACTCAGCGAACAAGACCTCGTCGACTATATCGCCTCCAAGGTACGTGGTTACTATGGTACGAGCCATACCCGCTTATAAGTACCTACACGAGAACTGTTAAGATTCGACCAGGTACAGATGAACTGCCCACCGCCTTCGTAGTGTTGCAACTCGATACTAAACTCACCGAATAAGACCTCGTCTAATTATATCGCTTCTAAGGTACATTGTTACTATAGAACGAGTCATACCCGGTTATAACTACCTACACGAGAACTGTTAAAATTCGACCAGGTACAGACGAACTGCCCACCGCCTTTGTAGTATTGCAATCAGATACTAAACTCACCGAACAAGACCTCGTCGACTATATCGCTTCTAGGGTACGTGGTTACTATAGTAAGAGTCATACCTGGTTATAAGTACCTACACCAGAATTGTTAAGATTCGTCCAGGTAAAGATGAACTGCCCATCGAATTTGTTACGATTCTACTTTGTAGAGACTTCACTTAGCGAGACCTCGTCGACTATATCGCCTCCAAGGTACATGGTTACTATAGAACGAGTCATACCCGGTTATAACTACCTACACGAGAACTGTTAAAATTCGACCAGGTACAGACGAACTGCCCACCGCTTTTATAGTATTGCAATCAGATACTAAACTCACCGAACAAGACCTCGTCGACTATATCGCTTCTAGGGTACGTGGTTACTATAGAACGAGTCATACCCGGTTATAAGTACCTACACGAAAACTTAAGATTCGCCCAGGTACAAATGAACTGCCCATCGAATTTGTTGTGATTCTACTTTGTATAGACTTCACTGAGCGAGACCTCGACGACTACATCGGGAACCGGCTCTGCTGCGATTCTACTTTATATAGACTTCACTGAGCAATACCTCGTCGACTAAATCGCCTCTAAGGTATGAACTATGCCTGTGGATATACCAATACTTTTATAGATCCATCATCGGAGTTGAAATGGTCTGCGAATTGCCCATCGCCTTTGTAGTATTGCAATCAGATACTAAACTCACCGAACAAGATCTCGTCGACTATATCGCATCCAAGGTACTCATACCCGTATATAAGTTCACGAATACTGTTAACCAGATGTAGCCGAACTGCCTACTGCCTACAAACCTCGATTATCGCCTCCCAAAGAATTAGCCACAGTACACGGGTACTGTTAAGATCCGTCCAGATATAGGCTAACTGTCCCCCGCCTTCGTGTTGTTGTTGTACTCATCATAATCATTTTTTCAGTTTAGGCTGTTACAAGCACTCATTAATGTCTAGAAGCTACGCCATCGGTTCGTAAATATACGGCGGGAGACCTTGTACTGAAAAGAACCTACAAGAAACTCGGCTAGGGCTGTTTTTTCTCTCTCTGTTTTATTATTTACATAGTCGTAAAGTTGAAAAATGACTTCAGAAATGATTCATGAAGTCAGATTTCATTACATAATGTGAAATTATACATTAATTTTTCACCTGCATTTTGATTGCTATGTCATACAGTATAAATACAAATAGTGTTATTTATATTAGGTGTAACTAACCATTTACATCTTAAATATCAAAGTAGTTAGGGCAGACTCATCTCCACTCGCAGCAACCGTTCACGAGCATGATACTAGATATAAAAATCACCGAGTGAGACCTCTTTGGCCACATCGACTCTGGGTAAGCAGCCACACCCGTGGATACACGAGAACTGTTTTAGATTTGTCTAGACATGAGCCCACACGATAATGGTGAACTACGCAATATCAGCTAAGTGTATATATTTATATAAAGCTAAGTATTCCCTAACTCGTGTTTACAGAGAAAAAAACAGCTTACAATATTTTTGGTCATGGAGGAAAGCCGACATTTGATTTTGAAGAATCACACGTGCCTGAAATCGCTAATCATAGAGTGTACATTTAGCTCCTCATCCAGCAATATGGAAATCCCTAAGATCTACACGCTCAGCTCAGCTCTATACGCTTTAAAGCGGGCAAGTGCTAATAAGTGATAAAAGCAATTCTCTTGTTTCAGGTATCACCTACAAAGCATTTACGAGGTGGTGTTCGTTTCATAGACGAAATTCCGAAAAACCCATCGGGGAAAATTCTGAGGCGCCTGTTGAAGACAATGGTACAAAAACCAAAGAGTAAACTTTAAACCAAATCAAAATACATTAAATATTATTTTATTAAGTATTGATCACAAGTCCTGATTAAATTATCTAATTGTAATTTTGATTGACATGATTTTTTGACAAATAGTATTTGTTATTTATTGTTAAGTTAATAAGTAAGTCAGTCTTGTACTTAGTTATTCCTAGCAGTTAGCTTCAATACTTCGTGATAATGTTTACGTTGCTTCATGGAGAATAACTTGTACGAAAAAAGCATCAAGGATTAATCGAAAGAGCATGCAAACAACACTTAATTCTTCAATTTTAAACTGTACATGATTAAAGTGTTACCTGAGAGTTTTCAAGTCACGATTGTTCCAGATATGATCTGAAACAATTAAAATATTTCGTAGATATGTACAAGCGATTGCCAATTATAAACAGTGATTTAGTGAAATAAAATGCCTGTTTATTGCTTTTATACATTTATTTACATAATAAACTTTTTATTTTACAAAATTGATTTTTATGAACCTTATTTAGGGATATATGGTATTCAAGTTTTTTTTCTATCCTGACCTTACTTTACAATAGTAAAATTATAAGATATCTTTTCACACAGCAAAATGTATTTCAGTAAACATTGGATGGTGTAAATAAAAAATAAATTGAGTAGAATGAACTAGGTACAGTACGCTGGCCAGTGGTAATGACGTCATGATTTCGACGCTATATTGCACTGGTGTAGTAATAGTGTTGTCAATATGGCGTCGAAATCATGACGTCATTACCACTGGTCAGCGTACTGGTGTTTGATTCGGAATACACCCAATATGATGCTATCATCTGTTATTTATTTGCTAGCGCTTCTTTCAATTCTTGGGGTATTTTACTGATTGCGTATTTGTGAAGATCATCATTGACAGCAGCTAGAACGCCCATTTTGTTCGGTCTAGATTCTGAAGCACCATACTTGTAGAAATTACCAACAATGTCAGTCAGTTTGCCGCCTGCAGCAGAGAGTATTGCCTCAGGGCCACATGTGTCCCATTTCTTACATCCAGGACTAGCAAATACATATACGGACGCCTGCCCTTCCAATAATTGTAGAACCTGTTAAAAAATAAAACTTATTATATACACAACATTGAATAAAAAAAAGCTACATTTTTTGTTATAGTAAGCTTTCATAAAGTGATTTAGAAAACCTGTAAATTTTTATTGTCTATGATTGAATTTATTAGCTAACTTGATTAATAATGTACTTTATTTTATTCTTTTATAATATTATTCCAAACCTATTGGTTTTACCATGTACAGTCAAATAATAAAATCAATTTTTTAAAACACTAATAAAAGTTCATATAAAAATCCTAGATCCAGGACTGAAGGTACCTAATTAATTTAGTTCAGTATTTTTTTATTTCTGACCTTGTAACCTGCCCCACCAACTCGCAGGATTTGTGAAGCTTCCATGACTTGCAAAGCTTTTTCAACAAGAGGGTTAGAATGACTTCTTGTTGTAGTAATAATCAAAGAGTCTGGGGGTGCGGCAGATGAAAAACCGCCCACGCCAGCTTCTTGCAGCCCCCATATTGTTCTACCCAATTTTTTTTCACCATCCACAATTGATTTATAATATGGTTGGTGGATCACACCTGCTACAGGTTTTTCATTAACAGCTATTCCAATTAATACTGTAACATGTTCTAAAAACCCTGTAACAAAGAAACAAATACAAATTATTAAAAAAAATACATAATAGACGACAACAATATAATTAGCATTCTAAAAAAAGTGAAAGGTAATGGTAGTGAAGGCTGTTAAATTGTATTTACAAATATTGATTGAAATCCTTGATAGCTGTGATCAAATAATACATTTACAACAATGCAATTAGTTTACAATTTGAAACCAAGTGACAGGCACTCTTAATAGTCACTTCCTGTCCAACCTGCATTTATGTTTAAATATGGGTTTATTTTACATGTTGCAAGTAGGTTAACTTATAAATTGTAATATAAAGATAATTAAAATATAATTAATTACATTATTTTATATAAAATCTATCGAATGATGATAAGTGTATTAAACATATTTTAGAGAAGTGCATTCTTTTCGGATTTTACCATGCTCAGTTACTATGTTATATTAATAAATTATATGACAACTCATGCTAAACATAAAAACCATTAAGCCCAATCAGTTTCAGTATTATTAACATTTACCATAGTTTGATTGCAGTAAACTTAAGTACCACTTCATACTAATAAATGGATGCATTAAGTACATTTTGCCTCTTTCCCATGGATTCCTCTTCAACATTAGGGCACCTAAAATTTTCATACAGTGTAGTGTTTTGATTCTACTAAAATACTGATTGCTAAAACAAAATACAGTTTTCATTTTTGCTTATTTTTGTCAGCTCCTTACAAAGAATTACAGATTCTCATACCAGTGTAGACACATTTATGAAGTGATAATTGGTTAATTTCTATGAAATTGTATTCCTTACTTATATATAATATATTCTTATGAGGGATGATCCTTGCAATCAAATGAAACCGTACCTTGAGTGTACTCTGCAGTCCCATCAAGGGGATCAACCCAAACTACAATGTCCTCTTCCTTCACACCCAGAAGACTGTCAGGGCAGTTCAGCAACAGCACTTCTTTATCTGCATCGACTATAAGCCAGTCGCTTGGAACCTCTGTCTAGAAAAGAGGAATTAAGTAATCAGACATTGAGTCAAATATTTTGAATTGGGAACTTTCACACTCAACTGGGAGTAACAGAACAGAATTATATACAAGCAGATATTGGTGATTTCTTAAATTTTTAAAATAAAATCCAACTATAAATTGGTATATGAAACTCATTAATCTATGTTTATCATATTTTCACAGAGCATAACATCATGATTCTGAAGTACATAGAAGTCAAACAACAATGAAATTATTGTGCTCATTAGTAATAGTAGTGACGCATTTACTGTTAACTTACTTCATTATCAGGATTATCTTCTTCACCAATAATACATAATTTTGGATACTGAGCAGAAAGTGAAGCTATAATACATTTCTGAGCAGATCTATCAGCTTCTGTTTGGTAATCGTCTTTTCCCTGAAAAAAGAGTTCGCCAATAATCAACCATCTAATATAGTCTACCATTTCTCAAAAATATAACATACATATTCCACTTACCTTTTCAACTATACCTAGCTCTCCTTTGCTCATTACATCTCTTACTATTTTACCTGCTCGATTAGCAACCGATACTGATGAAGCTAATAATCTCACAATAAGTGGAGCACTGTTCGACATAGCAAATACTTAGTAAAACCTCAAATCAATTAAATAAATCAACACCCTGGCTATAAAGTGAAGAAATAAAATTTTAAAATGTTCCGTACCTACTTCGTACAAAGCCAACGCTACTCGCGATCTGGGTCAACAAAAATTGCTAGCTACTTTAAGTATGGGCGAAAGACATACACAGACTACGTAAGCGATACCATTATTCTTAACATTTTTTACTTGATGTAAGTGTAAACTTGTAAACAATTTCAATTTTCACCTTTGTACTTTTGCGTACGTCAAATCAAACTGTCACTGTCACTTAAATATATTTTTAAAATATTTGTGCCATTGGGATAGCAAGGGAAAAAGTTCATCGATGCCATCTTTTATCGCTACTACTATAGTTCAATCTTTATATATATAATTCTTCTGTGAGTGTGTATGTCACTGAACTTCTCTTAAACGACTGGACCGATTTTGATGAAATTTTTTGTGTGTGTTCAAGGGGATCTGAGAATGGTTTAGATTCACAATTTTGTCCGCTGGACAACCCCTATTTTTTTTAAGGCGGTACGAAGTTCGCTGGGTCAGTTAGTTTTCTATAAAATCACATTTCCGTACGTCTGCGTGGTTTTGAATTGTAATAACTTTTGATAGAGTACAACAATTATAATGAAACTAGCAAACCAGTGAACTAAATGTTCACCAATAAAAAAATGTATTTAATTAATTGAGAACTTCGGAGATTTTGTGTGGTTTCGTTTGAAATAGAAATCACGTGATTTCTCGAAAACCGGAAGTGCTACGTTACTCACATCCGGTTTGTAGTCTTATCAGACTATTCTCAACTTATAACTTTAACATTCTGTTTATCTATCTCTTACGGTTTGGCCGCTGAAACAGCACCACGGATGGACTTGTCTAATAGATAAGAGATAATGATTGAATGTTACTTGCATGCGTATTCAATTCGAGCCCTTACCGCCAAATTATCGTAAGCGACACTTTTGTCGAAATGCGTTTTTTGTGGAAACTAATATTTTTAACCGTAACGGACCCATCTCTGTTGATATTTCCCTCTATTCTTCCCTCTATTATATTGTAACGGTGTTCTTTTGGAGGGAAATATCAACAGAGATGGGTCCGTTACGGTTTAAAATATTAGTTTCCACAAAAAACGCATTTCGACAAAAGTGTCGCTTACGATAATTTGGCGAGTGTCGCTTACGATAATTTGGCGGTAAGGGCTCGAATATTAGGTTTAATTTAATTTTGTCCAAATTCTTAATCAAGTCATTATTTTACAATACAATACAAAACACTTTATTGTACAGATAACATTTAATTTAGTACATAACCAATTAAAACTAGTGTAACAATGGGCGGCCTTATCGCTTAGAGCGATCTCTTCCAGACAACCTTTGGATGGAGAGGATTAGAAGGAAGTGGGAGAGACGGAGGCGTAAATCACTTGAGTGATATAGGTAATAATATATACAATTATATATATACGTAAATATAAATACATATTAAATAAAATTAAATACATACATACACATTAATAAACAAATCTAGTTCAGTTGGTAGTAGTAACATCAAAAGTTATAAGGACAAATAATGGGACTTTACGAGGTTTTTAAAAGCGTGGATAGATTCTGCACGTCGTATGGTAACTTGGAGAGAATTCCACAAATGTACGGTACGGCTCGCACTGCAAACGAACGGTTATAAAATGTTGTAACGTGTACAGGAATCATGAGAGTAAGATTTTCTGATGATCTAAGGGATAACGTGTTAGAAGTGTGAAGGAAATTAAAACATTCCTGGAGATAGCGCGGGATCTTAGGATTAAACAATATGTTTTAAAGGAGAGCAAGAGTATAAGCATTCCGGCGAAGACGAATAGGTAGCCACTCGAGTTGCGAACGAAATTGAAAAACGTGATCATATTTGGGCAAGCCAAATATGAAGCGGATGCAAAAGTTTGGAAGTCGCTCAAGCTTATTGAGCTGGTCCTCGGTAAGATCAAGATAGCAGACGTCAGCATAATCAAGAATAGGAAGTAACAACGACTGTGCTAAAGTAATTTTGGTAGTGATGGGTAGAAAATTACGTAGTCTTCTAAGCGACGCTGCTGAAGCAAACAATTTGCGGCTGACCACTTGCATCTGTGGACCCCAGCTCACACAATTATCGAAAGTTAACCCCAGAATTTTACCGACGCGCTAAAAGAAAAATTATTACCAGCCAGCTGGATATTGGGTAGTGACTGCCATTCTACTCTATCTATCATCCTAGAACTACCTACTATTATGCTTATAGTTTTAGAGCGATTCAATTGCAATCCAAAGGATTTTATAAGTTTTTAAGTAGTATATCAAGGCGTTTTTTTTTTAATTAATTAAAACCGGAAGTGTCAAATTATACGAAAGAAGTATGGCCGACTGAATCATGGCGGAGCAGTAAGAGAGTTGACAGGGAGCGAGCACTCCAAAGAGTAGTATTTATATTATGAGCACTCTGTTGATAGCCGTTGAAGTGTCCGGACGTGCAGTATCTTATTATTACAAGAACTGTTAATTTGGAGTTGAATAAGTAAGTTATTGGTTAATGAAGGAGTTTTCTTACAATCAAAGTAACTAGGTAGGTGATTGGTGATAAATAGTATTGAAATGAAGAATTCCACTGCTTTGAGGGCGATTTTCAATCGCTGCAGCAACCACTTTTGCAGTGTTTGGTAAATGCAGCAGTGGTTTGTCCTACACGGAAATTGATGCTGCTGCCACTGACAACGCCAGTCATGAGGGCCACCAGCAGTTGCAGTACTGCATTTTCATGTAGTCCTACCCCTCCATTATTTCGAGGAACAAACGAAACCTGGGAGTCTCATTAAAGTAGAAACTGTATTTTTATTTGTTTTTATATAATAGCGGCGCACTGGTTCTTTTGCATTGCAGCATCTTCATTTCATGTTCTATTAGTGTCGTAACTAATTAAATTATATAAACTCTTATATATATATAATTAACATCTGAAAATGTAATCATACTAGGTTCAGTGTCGTGACCACAGAACACAGAAAGAGGTTAGAAGGGTGATAAGCGATTGCCAGTATGAGAACCGATGTCACCGGCTCGTCCCCACTACACTTCCATCTAACAGATAATAAGCCAATCAAACGACGCGACGTCAAGCAACCGAACGAATCAGCGCTCACAGCCGTGACTGTGAGCGTTCATTCGTTCACACCGATTTTAGCGCTATGGTTGATACTGAGTCGATGAAATATTATCGATATTAAATATGCCAAGTGCGAGTTGGACTATTTAATCCACAATCATGTGTGGATTTTTTTATATCCTGTCAAAGTCAGTAAAGATAAAGAAAATGATTAAATGTAAAACGCATTACTACAGATACTTATTAATTGACCTTGAAACAATATATATTAATGAAAAAGGTGATGTGCGGGACAGAAAGTGATTTGGACTTACGATTTTTTTTTATTTTCTCCGATAGCCTCTAGAGCAGCGCTGGTCTGCCTGTATTTTCGTAAGTTTCCGGATGTTGTAGGAATGTTATCTTGACCTAGTCCTAACTGTCCTTCACGTAATCTTGGTGATTTGATGATGTTCCTTTGTGCTCGTTGAACAACCGACGCGCTGACTATATGTAATTTGGTTCGGGACTTTTCGTAAGTCGTCCGATCGCTGTGGCGTCGTAGTAGTAACAGGCAGCTGACAGATACTGCCTGTCTACCCTCGTATTACAATAAAAAAACGTCCAAGGGATAGGAAAAGGTGGGTAAGCGGATGTAATGTTACGTTATACGCATTCAATATATTTGAAACCGAACATGACCGCCCCCCAAAGAGCTGCTAAGCTCTTTAGCATATTCTAAAATTGACGAGTTGATTTTCCGAATAAAGTTGATTTCAATTTCAAAACTAACCGAGTTGATTTTCCGAATTAAGCTGAATTCCGCATGGGTAAGAATGCAAAATCCAATAAAAACTTTTAACCAAGCTGATTTACCTATAGGATTGATTGCACAAACCGCTGATGTACCATGAAGTTAATTTAAAATGTATATAAAAAATATATTTGATAATAAAGCTAAGTTAAAAAAAAAGTAATTAAGTATATAAAATTTGTTTTATATTAATTTGTATCGCATTTTGGCAATGGACACACCTTAGTTAACGATCTGAGACAAGACCCGGAACTGGTCCTTATCTCTACAACGCGTACCACGCCATCTGTTCCAGGATGGAGCGCAGATACTCGTCCCTTTCGCCACCTAAGGGGTGTAGTGTGATCGTCTTTAATTAAAACCAGGTCACCCAACATCAAATTGGGGATGGTTTTGCACCATTTAGCGCGCTGTTGAAGATTGTGAAGATATTCACCCTGCCATCTTTGCCAAAAGTGATGCGAGATTTGTTGCACTAGCTTCCAACGTTTGAGTAATGGGACTTGAGAATCATCAGATGCTTCTTCCGGTAAGCTGACCAAAGGCTGGCCGATAAGATAATGACCAGGAGTCAAAGTATCAAGATTGGACACGTCATCTGTAAGAGGACATAACGGTCTAGAGTTCAAAACAGCCTCGGCTCTAGCAAACACAGTGGACAACTCTTCGTAAGTGAGAACCTGCTCACCAACTGTGCGCAACAATAACTGTTTTGCCGACTTGACCGTCGACTCCCAAAGCCCACCCATGTGTGGGGCGTAAGGCGGATTCATGTGCCAAGTGACACCCAATTGATCCGAAAGCAACCTCTGAGCCTTCAAGTAATTAGCAGCCCCTTGAAAGTTTTTGCCGCAATCCGAGTAAACATCCGAAGGCATTCCTCTTCTCGCGACAAATCTATGAAAACAAGCCAAAAAGGCTTGGGTTGTTAAGTCAGAAGTGACTTCAAAGTGAACAGCCTTCACGGCAAGCCATACGAAGACACAAAGATAAGCTTTGAGTGTCTTCGCCCTGCGCATACAAGAAGCCTTTATGGTGAATGGACCTGCAAAGTCGACCCCTACTCTGGTGAATGGATGACTCAGCCGTACTCGACTGGGTGGAAGATTACCCATAAAAGGTTCCAGAGGTTTCGCCTTTAGCCTGTAACAGCGATGGCACTGAAACACTCGGTTTCGAACAACCCGTCGAGCAGACAAAATCCAAAACTTCTGGCGAAGAATGTTTACGAGTATAGAGGGACCCGCATGAAGATGGAGCAGGTGATGATAATCAATGATTAGATGAGTAAGATGATGCGACTTAGGTAATAACAGTGGATAT